TAAATTTATATGGTATGTAAGACTGTATGGGCAGTACATTTTACCTTGGTAAGTTTTTTTGACAATTTGACAGATTTATGCCATATATCAAGTGCATGAAAGAGATGAAAGAACTGATTGGGATATTTATCTGGCAATGGGAAAAGTAAAAATTACACATAAATATGACTGAAATAGTCACCAACTTTATTAAACAAGTTATATTCGATTTGTCTCAATAAGACATATTAGCCAGGGTTACCAGGGACGTAGCTAGAGAGGGGGTGTGTTGGGGGGGGGAGTTAACACCCCAATTCATCACACACTCTGAAAATGCCTGTTGACTCGGCAAATTGTTTTTGGATTTATTGGTCATCGAAAATATTTGAGTGGCTCAGAATAAAATTTACGATAATTGTTACCAAATTACGATAAATTAATGTGAGTTCCGAAAAACTTTGACTCCGCCAGCAATTTTGGGAAAAATATTAATTGGCGACTGAAATGTTTGGCAAATGTGATATTACACACTCCCCCTTCTTTAGCTTGTCTGCTATGGCCCTGAGGGTTACTGTATTTTTCTGAAATCTGAAAACATCTCTATATAATTTACCAATTTATTACAGTACCTTTCATCGTTCTAACCAGGGCAATAACAGCAGCCGATGCATCAGTTACAATTTCTGAAATGATAATATTGCCAACCATTTTTTCCAGTATCCCTTTCAAGCCCAGAACTTCCATGTTGGTTGACACACCCCCTGTTTCACGTTTATCGACCACTTCAACATCAACCATAACATCCAAACTCTGTTCCATTAAGGCATACATACAATATTTGAGGGCAGCCTATACCCCTTCACAATATGCTTTCACGTAAAAATATTTTGCCTTTTCACGAGTCACGAAAAATTGAAAAAATTCCTTTACGTTCACGGAAAAATCGAAGCAATCACGATTCACGTAAAAATAAAACAAAATTCACGAATTATTATAGGATGTCTTCCTTAATTGTAGAATCATTGTACTCGACTGTACTTACTTCGACATACTTTCAAACCTCCAACTATGTCGAAAACAGCCTCCTGTACATCAAGTACTTCAAAAAACAGCAACAAACCGTATTTATACCTTGGAAAGCTGATCGAATCACGCATATTTCTATCTGCCATTCACGGGTCACGGTTAATTCGAATCTTTCCTTCACGTGCACGAAAAAAGATTGGAAGTCATACTATCACGAATCACGGATTAAGAAAATCATCGATCACGTTTCACGGCTAAGTAAAATAAGCCCATCACGCTTCACGCAAAAAGTATAGGGGACCCTCATATTTAGCACTGTGTCCTGGAGAGTCGTTACGTCCGTCACCACACAATATGACAGTTTCCTCAGATAGTATGTCCCAAATTTCTGCTTTCATCTGCTCCCAATACCTTGTGACTTCAGGAATTATGTAGAGTGTTTGCATTCTGTAGTATGTTGAATTTGAAATGATACCAAGTCCAAGGAATTGACAAAATAATGATAGTTTGTCAAAGTTATTTCGAGAAATTAAACATCCAGCAGACATCAACAAAGGGTTGGCACATATAATTTGCCCATGGTGCCGACCTAGCGCTTGTGAGGATGCCCAGCATCCAGTGTGACCTTTGGAACATTCCCATGACACTTTTAAAACACCTCCTTCAAGTTTATTATTTACAACTTTACTTTTTCCTGAACGATAAGATGTTGGCAGCCCTTGTTAAAAATATCCACCATAATAGACACATCCACAATAACACGAGATTGAAAAAAGTGCTCACTGCACCTACTGTTTCGTTTCTCAATCCCATTCAACACATTGAATGCAGATTTCATTTCATTTAGCAACCTTTCATTTCTTTCTGAGCATGATTCTGGTTTTTGCTCCTTGCCAACATCACCATCTTCTGAGTCACTGATGTCCATATCCTCTTCTCCTTTAGTTATATTGGGACTGCATGAAGATGTCATATCAACTTCCAAGTCTATAGCACTCAATGTTGTTTCATCATCGTAATCATCTGATAAACTGCAGCATAAATAAGGAAATAATTAATTGCAAAATAGTTCAGCATTATCGAGTAGTTATACGAGCATTTCTAACCCAGGGATGTTGGGATTTATAGTATATTATCAGAAAAGTAATCGATACCTAATTAATTATTAATAGTCTACATCAGATTCAAATTGATTCAAAATTTCAAATTACCGCTCAACATCATCACTGAAACAGAGTTCACTGCAGCAATTCTCCCCCCAAACTGTTGTCTATGTCACTGTCACAAACAATAAAAAAAGTCAACTGATCAGTAATCACCATTTCAAACATCGCTTTTAGATTATGAATGATGTATAAACCTTAATATTGACCTCTTTATTCCACTTTATTACTAACTTGCGAATCATCCAGAATTCCAAATACATGTATAGATATACCCTACCCTAGTTTAGAATTTACAGTACCTTGTCGACGAAGTGTTCGTTGAATCTGAACTTGAACAATAGCTTTCAAAAGAAGATGGTTCTCCAGCATGTATTCCAAATTCTGGATTAATGAAAGTGTAGACGCTCTCTAGCTCCACCCTGCTAACATTCATATTCTGATGAGAAGATGTAGAATCTTCAATGTACGCACCGTGAACATCATCCTTGTAAATTGGCGAAGTAGCATGAAATAATCCCATGTTGCTATTTCCATTTGGTGTTGAATTGACTACTGGAGGTACATGTATATGTCTGTCGTCTGAAACTTAAAAACCAAGCCGATATGTATAAAGTCGAAGTTCATGTAAAAACATACAATGGGTCAAAAGAGTTTTATGCTTACCATCAGTAGCGGTCGGTATAAAATTACTTTCGCCGCGTTCTTTCTCGCAGAAATTCAACAACAAGTGCATCGCAAACTCACTATGGGCCTTCTTTGAAAAACCAAGAGAATCCTTCCTTGAAAGCCACGTTTCGAACACATCCTTCTTTAATTTAATTCTTGTGATTCCTACTTCATTTCTTGGCCTACCACGTTTTGGAGGGGAAACGCCAGACTTGCAAATAGAAGCAGACATATTTTCTTATCGTGCACTCATACAACCTAATATGCCGCCATTTTCGGGTGCCCCGAAAATAGCTGGTCAAGCGCGCAATGCATCACGGTTGAGACTCATTCTTTAATTGCGCGCGTTTAATGGTGGCCGTAAAATTGGGGATGTGCTAAAACCTGGACTGGACTGGATTATGGACTGGATTTTGGACTGGATAATGGACTGGATTTTGGACTGGAATTTGGACCGGATTATGGACTGGATTATTTTACAAGGTACTTTACCTTGTAAAACTTCTGAGTAGGTATATTCCATGGTGATTTGAACGTTAATCAACAGGCCACGATAAAAGTGCAACGTCGAGAATTGTAACATTGATTAAAATGTTGTAAATTTGTAAAATTTCTATTTAATGAACTGTCAATCAAATTTCAGTAAGTAAGTAAGTAAGGTCATTAAGGTGTGTCAAGTTGATAGTATAGTGTCTATAGTGACAAAGTGATAGCAGGAGACTGAATTTGGAGACTGAATTTGTTGAAACGGCTGTAGCTAAATAAAAATCGTCCAGTGTCCAGGTTTTAGCACAATACGATGGAGGTCCATCGTCCAGTCCATCGTCCAGTCCATAGTCCAGTCCAGTCCATAGTCCAGTCCATAATCCAGTCAATAATCCAGTCCATAATCCAGTCCATAATCCAGTCCATAATCCAGTCCATAATCCAGTCCAAAATCCAGCACATAATCCAGTCCAGTCCAGTCCATAGTCCAGTCCAGGTTTTAGCACATGCCGTAAAATTGGCAAATAAGAATCGTAAAAAGTCAGGAAGATGAACGAATTTTGCCTTGAAATTTGGTAAGAATATCAAGCATACGTTATATTTCTGGATTATGAAGAAAGAAAAAAATTAATGATAGTGCCACTTTAAAGAAAATTACTGAAAGTCACTACCGTATAGCATCAGCCGTTTCCTTATATTAAACCAGGGCCTTCCCCCCTCCCCCCACCATTCACCCAAAACCGGGGCCTTAACCCCCAGGCATTCCCTCCAGTCAATGTCCCTTTTGTCGAAAATGAAAACATTGGAAGAAAAATGGAATTTAGAAGGGAGGTCTGATATTCTAGTGAACTTTGCAATGTGAATCTTTTGTCATGTCTTTTATCTTCAAATGATTCAATGTCTTTTTAAAAACGTCAAACACGGTGTTGTAATTAAATACCTCAGATTTTGAAAATTTCCCTGTGGACAACGTATCACATATTCCAGACCTTATAGATTTGAGTTGTTGGAAGGCCAGGCTAAACTAGTGAATTTACATAAATATAGTGCACTGCCAAGTACTTGACTGAAGATTCAGTCAACTACAGTATAATGTAACACTATATATATATAGTATAAGTATGTTAACGCATGTTATTGTAGATTTGCATGTTATTTTGTAATGTATATGTATATTGAAGTTGAAATTTATAGTGCAGGACCCCACTGAAAAACACTTCGGTGACGTGGGTATCCTGGATAAATATAAATATAATAATAATAATAGTATATCCAAAAATCTGTTTCAGAAAACTCACAAAATGCGGTCATAGGGGTGGAAAATACGACACCACACCAAACATTTTGTCACCAACCACCATCTGTCATCTCTTCACACTCAGTATAGCATGGTCCCTTTCTTTAGATGCCCCCCTCCCCCACTGACGAATTCTTAAAAAGGGCCGTGTGGTAAACACGTATTTACTCCTATAATTTTAGCATGCATTTCCGTATACTCGCACATGCGCTTTACGTTTCCCCGCCACGTTTCGAGGCATGAATCTGACATCTAACAGCCTTCTGTGTAGCTCGTGACAGCGACTTTAGACAAAAGATCAGCTTAAAATTTTAAGAATTCGTATAAATGCAATGCAAATGCAATGCAATGCAATGCAATGCAATGCAATGCAATGCAATGCAATGCAATGCAATGCAATGCAATGCAATGCAATGCAATGCAATGCAATGCAATGCAATGCAACGTAATGCAATGCAATACACAGGTAATGCCACGAAAATTCTAACTATATAATACATCTATATATCTATATAAATCTAAAAAACTATTTGCAATAATTATAGATTGGAAATATCCGGAACATGCTCAATTTCAATGTCATTTATACTGTTTTTTAAAGAGGATCCTGAAGGGGGGTCCCAATCCCATTTCCCACCTGAAATTTTGGCAAAATCCCAGTCCCAGTTGGATTTTTATTAGAAATCCCAGTCCGAGTTACTGAAATCCCAGTCAATAAAAAAAAGTTATTCATCGGCAGAATAAACAGTTTTAAGACATTTTAAGCTACCGTATGTGCGCACCGTGTGGCAGAAGCGGTTGTGCTTTGCCTTCGAGGTATATACTAAGGGTTAAATGAAGCATATACCGGAACCAGGCATATATTCCGCTGTGCATCTAACTTGGGGACACGCATAATCAGAAAACCCAGAATTCCGGGCGCCAGAGTATGCCTGTTCGCAGGTAGTGCTGTGAATAATATAGTTAACAACAAAGATCATGACAAAAGACACCAAAAACGGATCAAAATTGTATTTTAAAATACTTAAAACGCGCAAAATTGGGAATCGACTCGTTTTTCCTCAATCCCATTACCATTTTTGAGGACTTCATTTCCCAGTGGCCAAATCCCAGCAACCCAAATCCCATTTTCCCAGTCTAAAAATAGATCAATCCCAGTTCCCATTTTACCAATTCTCTGCCAATCTAACTAGGTCGGGAAGAGCGTTCCATAATTTGGTGGGTTGATACCGCCAAGACTTCAGCTCATACGTGGACCAATTTACTAGTTAATTTGCATTGTTGTAACTTGTAACGGAAAATTGTTGCGAAAGTTGTAAATATATTTTAAATATTTTTATGTTATAGAACGTCTGTATCCAAGGCAACGCAGACAAAGGAAAGATCACAAACATCTAATGAAATGAGGAACCGCAGTAACCGACAATGTAATACAAAAGAAACAGCAGATGCACTAGTTTTTGTGCATGCACAGCAAGAGAGTTCCACTGACTATGATCCATGATTCACTGCTGGTGGAAAGATAGTTTTGGCCAATCCTTTGCAGATAAATAATAAAACCAATAATAATTGTCTTAATAATAATGATAATAACAATAAAATTAATAATAATAATACAATAATAACAATATAAATTGTCTAATAATATCAGTATTATTCATAAATTGTCTAATAATATTAAGAGGCAATTTTTTTCAATGTCACGTATTTGCAATGACAAGTTTTCAAAACCTAAAATCTTTTTGGCGTTCCTTTCAAAATTACTTTGTTTTAGCTTTACTCTCTAGTTTATACAGTTAGCAACCTCTTTAAATGCGTCTGCCGGTTGAGAAACATAAAAAATAGTCAAAAATTGTCAAATACAATATCAATGACGCTTTAAAATTGACGCCATGTTTATAGCATGAATATAAGCAAAACTTACTGAACTTCAGACGTCATTTTCTCTTTGGCGTACCATCTAAAATCTTTTCATTTTAGTATTATTTTACAGATAAAGCACTAAACATACGTTTTAAGTTTGTTTGCCGATTGAGAAAAGTATTGAAAAATAAAAACCTCATGTGGTATAGTATACGCATTAGTTTTGAGCGCGTGTTACGCAACATACAAAATACTACTACTACTACTACTACTACTACTACTACTACTACTACTACTACTACTACTACTACTACTACTACTACTACTGCTACTACTACTACTACTACTACTACTACTACTACTACTACTACTACTACTACTACTACTACTACTACTACTACTACTACTACTAATGTCGCAAGAACATGTCCTCGACCAGCGTGTCCCAACTTTTGATGAACATGACGAATTAGCAGAGTGGTAACATGACTTTTGCGTGGTAAGATGTAAGGATGCTTCATTTGCTCGGTGAAGTCACCACGTCTTAGGCGGCCACCGACTCTAAGGACATCTCGATGAAGGAAGGGACTCACTCGATAAATGGAACTTGATCTTTTTACTTCAATCTTTGTCCACCTTTCACGTTGTCTTTTGTCTTGGCCTTCGGATTTCTCTATAGATCGTAAGATGCACATTTCTCTGGTGAATGCTTGGATTTGAACGCATCTTATAACGGCCATCTCGGCATCTTCTAGCTCTTGGACGGTAATAGGTTGTTGGAATTCTGGAAGGTGTCTTCTAGACTTCGTTTGATGTGGTTTATCTTTCTTCATTTGACTCAATTTCAGTAGCATTGCGCGAAGTCGTAAAAGTATTGCTACTCCTTTCTTCAAACGATTCCAGTCAGAATAGAATTCCAAGAATTTGTTAATCGTAGACATGGTGTTGTCGATAGAAACGGCTGACGCACTAACATTCTTCCTAACTTCTGGGTCCGTTGTGGAAACTGGAGTAATTACGAACGGTTGTTCAGGCCAGTTTTCTTCTGTATCCCATAAGAAACTTGGACCATTTAGCCAACGACTGTGCTTAAGAAGAATGTTCACATCGACGCGCCTTGACGCTTCGTCAGCAGGATTGTCTTTTGTGGATACGTATCTCCATTGATCAATACCAGAGATGCTTCGGATCGTTTGTATTCTATTTGCTACGAACACATGAAATCGTCGTTGATCGCTTGAAATATACCGTAGGATTGTTGTTGAATCAGTAAGGTATTTCACAAGATCAGGTCTGTCATCAAGCTCCTTCAATAGCATATCACCCATACGCGCTGATAATGTCGCTGCAACTAATTCCAAACGAGGAATCGTCATAACCTTGACTGGGGACAAGCGAGATTTCCCAAGTAGGAATGAACAATGCAGATTGCCATTTTCATCTTTCAGGCGGAGATACGCTACCGCTCCGTAACCGTCAAAGCTTGCATCTGAAAAGATGTCCATCTGTCTGGATACAACTTCTCCAAAGGAAGATGGCTTTAGACATCGGTCGACAAATAAATTTTCAATTTCTGGTAGATGCTTTAACCATTTGGCCCATATGATTTGATATTTATCTGGTAATTCATCATCCCAATCCAAATGTCCTTCTCGACAAAGGTCTT